TAAAATTAAATTCTTGACAACTTCACTTTTTTCTCTGTTTGTTATGATGTTGCTTATTGGGTCCAATTGTGAAGTTTCTTCTTTTCTTTAGAATGAAATGCAATGCATATTGGACACTTTAGTCTTTTATCTTCATCAATAAGTGAGTTGTGCTCTGTTTACTTTCAGCAAGCAAAGTTGTGGTTTTTTAAATTATAAATGTTTATTAATTTTCTTCCATTTCTGATGCTTCAGTCTTCATATAGCCCACCTTCTCAGATTATTTGCTGAGCAGAAATATTGAATAAATATGATGAAAATATATAAATCTGATGCACACATTTCCTGCTATTAAACCATCCAACTTCCTTTTCTTGTGTTTGTTTGACTGCTTGTTGGTCTGAAATCCCCATTCTTCTCAATATTACCTATAATTTATTATGATTTACATATGCTATTAATGAACAAAACATAGGACAACATCTTTCTGATATTCTCTGCTTTCAGCCAAGATCCATGTGACATCAGTAAATGCCCCTTATTTCACTTTCTTATCTGCCTTAAGTGTAGATTGGGTTTCTTCCTTTAATACTATAGCTTCTTGATCATAAACTGCTTGAAATGATTGATCAACCATTATTTCTGGTTCATTGACTCTACATATTTGTTCCATCTTTCCTTGATATTATTCAACATTTTGTCCATATAATTCTTCCACATTGCCACTTGAAACTTAAATTTTCTTTTCACTTCTTTTAGCTTGAGAAATGTCCAGCATATTCTTATTTTCAGCTTTTATTGTTTTCTTTTGAAAAATGTTATTGATTTGCATACAATAATTAATTTACATTGTTTCATTCATGTACATTGTTTTATACAAGCTTTCCTTTACATTGTTTCATACAATCATTCATACACATTGTATTCTATGTAATTAATTACTATTGATCTATGCCTATTACCACCCAGTCTTTTCAAGTCCCCACTGAATCTTTCCTATTCTTTCATCTACCCACTAAACTCAGATATCCTAGCAATTTCTACCCTTATCCTTTATCTACTTTCTTCCTTCTCCCATTTGGATGTTTGTGCACATCTAGCAAATTATACTTCTTTATTTTTTTAAACTGGTTTATTTATAGAGTTCAAATAAATTGGTTTTTTCACGCTGGATCTTTCCCATTTCCTTCACTTCCCGCATCAAATAGTCCAACCCTATGATTAACCCCCCTTGCCAACCCTTACCCCTCTGCTTCCACACTCCCTCCCATTAGATCCTCATACTCATTCTATAATTATGGTTTTATACAGTGTTTGTCCTTATGGGACTGAGTTACTTCACTTAACATAATGCTTTCCAGTTCCTCCCAAGTTGGGTAGTAGTTTACAAAATCATTGCTCCTGTGTGCTGCATAATATATAATTGTATGAGTGTACCATAATTTCTCAATCCATTCAATTGTGTTTGGACATCTGGGCTGTTTTCATGTTCTTGCGATGGTGAATAATGCTGCTGTGAATACACGTGTACAAGTCTCTGTTTGTGCCTCAGTTCTGATTTTCCCAGGGTATATTCCAAGAGAGCTGGACAATGACTAGGGATGATAGAAGGAAAATTGATGCCTTTGAGCTGTGGTGTTGGAGAAGAGTATTTAATATGTCCTGGACTGCTAGGAAAACAAACAGTTTTGTCCTAGAGAGGGGGAAGCCAGGCTGCTCTTTGGAGGCAAGGATTCTGAAGTTTTGTCTGACATACTTTGGACATGGTCCCAGTAGGGACGTCATGCTTGGGGGGGAGGAGGGACAACAAAGGAGAGGAAGACCCTCGATGAGATGGATTGATTCAGTGACTGGGGTAATGGGGGTAGGTGTGTCAGAGATGGTGAGATTGGCACAGGGTAGGGCGAAGTTTAGGGCTGTTATACATAGGGTCGCTATGGGTCACAGGCGACTTGACTGCACATAACAACAACAACAACAACAACAACATATTCCAAGAAGTGGAATAGCTGGGTCATGTGGAATTTTTATGTTCAGCTGTTCAGCTTTTTGAGGAAATGGCAAACTGCTTTCCAGAGTGGTTGTACCATTTTATAATCTTACCAACAACATATAAGAGTACCTATCTTGCCACATCTTCTTCAACATTTATTACCTGCTATCCTGTTAAATTTTGCCGCTATTACAGGAGTTATATAATATTTCATTGTGGAATTAGTAGGCCAGTTTAGTAGAGTGGCAGGATATAAAATCAATTTCCAAAATTCAGTGGGATTCCTCTACAGTAACTCAGAACTCAGAGGAGGAAATCAACACCATTTATTATAGCCAACCATAAATCAAGTTATTTTGGAGTGAACCTAATTAGAGATAAAAAAGACCTATACAAAGAAAACTACAGAACATTTCTGTGAGACACAATAAAAGACCTAAAGAAATGGAAAAATGTGCCCAGTTCATGGGTAGAAAGACACAATATTGTAAAAATGATGGTCCTACCAAAAGCAATCTGCATGTTCAATGCAATCCCAATACAGATACCAAATTCATTTTTCAAGGAGATCAAAAGGGAAATTTGGAAGTTTATTTGGAGAAGCAAGAAATCCCAAGCAGAGTGTAAAATGGTGCAACCCCTGTGGAAAGCAGTATGGCGCTTTCTCAAAAAGTTGCAAATAGAGATACCATTTGACCCAGCAATTCCA